TGTTTTGAGTTCCAGATGTTGTTCAAATGTAGAAATGTAGCCCTTGCTTTGCCGATCCACTCCTTCACATGTGCATCAGAAGCACCCTACTCATCAACAATGCTGCTCAGATAGGTAAAGGGTTTTACGTCCTCCAAGGCATCTCCATCAAGAGTGATCCATTCCTTGTGATGGTGCTTCCTGGGGCCCAGAACCTCATGACATTTTTAAGTTATTGCTTCCTTGATCCCTTTACAGTTGTTCTCCATCGTAGATTCCTCTCTATTGAGTAGATCGTGCAAAACCTGGAACCTATTGCTGAGGGCTATCTTGAATTCGTTGAGTTTGAAAGTATCCCGAAGAAAGACAGTATTAAACTTTTGTGATGTTCTCCGCCCCGATTGTCCAGTGCTTCCTGAGTTTCAGTTTCATTTTGGCTACTAGTAAATGGTGTTCTTAGCCTATATCAGCCCCTCTCCTAGTTCTCATGTCCCCCTCTTTCTGAACATTTTTGTTTATACAGATATGGTCAATTTGTTTCTATGTAGAATGATCCGGTTAAATCCATGTAGCTTTGTGTATGCGTTTATGAGGGAATATGATGACACCTATGTTCAGTTTGTTGAAGGTGCATAGATTTTCAAATCTCTCATCATTTTCGTTCCTTTCTCCTAGTCTATGTCGTCCCATGATGTCTTCATATCCTGTGTTGTCCATTTCAACCTTAGCAATTCGGTCACCCATTGGAATGGCTAAATCCTTAGCTAGGTTAACTCCAGACTCTTGTAGAATCGATCGCTGACGTCTTCATTGTAATCATTGGTGGACGCATTGCATTAAATGATATTCATTGTAATATCTTCTTCCATTGTTTTGAAGGATGCTTTGATAATCTTGGTTCGTGAGATTCCCATGCTGTCAGTGCTTTTGTGAACAGCATCTTTGCTGAATTGAGAGTTTTTTGTCCAATCTGTGTCCAATGTATTTCACTGACTGCAAGTACTACCAGATCGTATCTTTTCATTTCTGCAGCAGCTTCGATGGCTATCTATGTCTCCCACAATGTACGAACATTCCATGTACCTATATCAATTGCTGCTGGGGTTTCGAGAAGAGGGGCGTTTGCCTTGTGACTTCCAAAGGAATTTGGCTTTCATCATGAGGCGTCGTAACTGTTCTAAATGAACTGGCACAGCCTGATAGTGCTTTCAGGCGGAGTTGTTACCTAATAACATGTACTACTTAATTAATCTGAAATGTCATTTATTCGGACTGATGTAATTGATATTTTACCTTCTATGTGGTGACATGTCATCTAACTGTAATCAGGATTTAATAAGTGATCCGACTACTTATCTGGAAACAGGTGATCATCATTAGGGTTGTTAAAATCATTGATCTCACTGTTATAAAACTATGACACTTAGCTGAATCAAGAAAGATCATTTGTTTGGAAAAACGATAGTAATATTTTTATGTTTTCAGTATAAACTTACATAAATTAGTATAATCACTCTAAGACACCTCTAAATGACAATCTAATATCAGCTGATGCATTAAAGACTTAATTGAAAGAAAACACCACATGTTTATTGCATAAAAGTAATAAAGAGGTTACATTTATTTACAAAATCGAAGAAAATTTATTTCTAATAGCTACATACTTTATTAATACTTCACAATTGTTTAAATAAACGTAAACCATGGTTTATAGATTAATTTTATGTAGAATTAACAATTAAAAAATATTTTTGATCATAATTATTCTTTTGATAATTAGGTCAGATTAGGACAACTTTTATGCTTGAATAGCTATAGTTTCATCTATTCAGTTGTAGATCAGTGTTCTACTTTAAACGATGACCATTTTGCCGGCGAATGTTGTGAATAAAGCAATTTAGGTTATACACACCGTATATTTATTTACATGTATATAGATATATATGTATAGACGTGCATTTGTGCAAATGTGTTTATTACAGCTAAGTGTACTATCTTTAATTACCTAATTTTCTCTATTTTTTAAAAAAACCAGCCTAATGGTTAGATTGTAAATTGATTTTTTCATGCCTCCAATCGTCAGAGTTGACAGATATATATATATATATATATCCTAACTATCATAATAATTAACATAATTTTCATCTTGTTTTTCACGAAAAATATTAGAAATATCATTCTCGAACATTTCCGATTACTCATTTTCGAATGTCTCTTGTTTTTGGCTATAATTTTCGATGATGATGATAATAATAGCAGCAGCAATATTTCTCTACTCTTTATATTTCATCTACGATGGGACGATTCTCCAACCCTATCCTATTGATATTATACACAAAACAAATAACAATATCCACAGTTTCTTACCATTGTATACTTCTAATTGTCATTTTTTTTCCCCTTATTTCCTGTCTGTTTTTACACTTAATGCATATGTTAACTTGATTAGTTGTTAGATGAGATTAACAAGGATACATAATTGTTAAGAAATTTCTTGATAATATTTCTCATATATATATATATATATATATATATATATATATATATCGATACTGTTAAGTTGTCTGACTAGTGACAAAGTCTTGATAGTCACAGAAAAAAGGTAGTTTATCACTATCGAGTACACTTACCTTTCATTATTTAGTAAATGTTAAGTGAAAAATATTGTAAATGAATGCAGTTGTACACACTCACGTGATGAGAATTCTAAGTCAAAATATGTATTCGATTGTTTTGAATATTCAGTAATATCAAGTAGTATATTATACAGTTGAGAAAAACAGATTTCATGTCTCTGTAATCATCCGTTTGATAATCTTCTATTAGCTAACTAATGAACTCTTGAAATTTCGTTTCATTGATCATTCATTTTATATTCATGCCAGAGAATGATTATTTATTATGTTGATAGAATAGTCAAAATGACAAATTTCTTGTTTTTTGATATGTCTATTTCTGGAAACCTGGATAGTGACCAGTCCTACAATTAAGTTTCAAATGCTAAAAAAATGGCGTCATGTCAGAATAAAAACTTTTCATAATGAAGTACTTATGAATGAATAAAAGAATACTAGTATCTATTAGTTAGTGGATATCGTTCGATCGGTAGAAACTATTGAAAGCATGCTTAATTTGGTATTAGAGTAAGTAATCACCCAATCAGCTTATCACATATACATTAATGAATTTTCCAGTTTTCACGGCGTATACTGATTGGATAATTTGTTTTCATCTTTCTCAGGCTTCTGGAAAACTTAGCCTAGCACTTTTAATAGATAGTAGATAAATTAGTTAAAGTATACTGAGATCTTAGCATAAATCATTTTCAGTACTGTATTGCATGATTTTGAACGTGCATGAATCCTAGGTTTTCATTTGGTAATACTGTAAATACTACATTAGAAACTACACCACGTTTACTCTCTGACTGTTATTTATCATGATGACGAGCATAGCAGTTCCCTTTCGGTTGGATAAAGTTTATCTGAGGGGTTGTAAATTAGCTATTTTGTTTAACACTTCTTTTATTTACTGTCGCAGTACAAAAGAATGACTTTACAATTGTTAATAGCAGTCTATCTCCTTTTTTTAACATACAAATATACACATACCTGAATAAAATGGGGAAAACCACAACAAATAATTTATTTTAAATGGAGAAAGACAGACGCTACATTCCTACTTTTGTTTGGTTTTTGTGGTATTTCTTATCAGGAAAAATGCAAGCTCTCCATCTTCGCATATATGCAGTATTCATCAGTGTGGCCTATTTTCAGACAAATCATCTGACAGAATAGTTCACAGTTGTCTCCAACTCAAAAATGTGAAATAAATATATTCGAACTTGTCAATAAGAAACCAGCAGTAGTCAGTGACTTCTTAGATGTTACATAAGCAAACGACTGTTTACCTATTAATCAACCTTTCCCCAAGCTAACGGCTTTCGAGGTTCAGAATATTCACTGGCTTGATATAAATGACAGGATTCATAAGTTTAAAAAATCACTTGATCATCAACAATATTAGGATACCTCAGCTAGTTTCGTCCAAATTTCGATTTTAACACTTAATTTAAGTTGCTGTAGAACATGCTGTCTAAAATGGAATTCTATTAAATCGTATTATGTCTGATTTAGAAGCATCATGATGACTATTCTCCAATTTCTCCCAATTCTTTTATATTGCTTCTTAGTCAGTGACATTAATACTGAGCCATGCGAATCTCAAAATAGTTCACACAATGTAGAGTCACCTAGACCAGTGTCACAGTGCAACTTGATAGGTAGAATTCGACCAACACTAGGTAGAACCTGACATATGTGACACTGGTTAGCACCTAGTGATTAGTCAATTGTACACAATGATTGTTTTAAACATTACTCCTGCTTTGTGATACTCTGTTTCTATTCTGAAAATAAGTAGCAAAGAATTAATTTACTAGTTATTTTCACATGGATCCATAAATCGTTTTCTCCCTCAAAGTTTCAACTATTTTCGCCTCACTTCTTTCAATTTCTTTTCTTACCTGATCAATGAATGTGAATCCAAACACACAGTAAAAACATCCATTCTTACCTGTGTATTTATCTTATATATGCATTGCTACAACATATGTATTATACAGCTCCCGTTTAGCAGAGAAGCTTAAGAAATAAAGTTCCTAACACGCTAAACGAGTAGAAAGGTATTAGTGGAAACAACTCATTTAATATAAACTGATTACGCAAGAGTAACATTTTTTCTAAAAATAAATTTTTATAAAAAGCGTCTGATATATAATCCTAATACGTGGGACGGCTACCAAAATACCATTATTTACGATAATAGAGTGAATCTCACTTCAGCCTACTCTCAGCTAAAAGAAAAAACAGTCTAAAAAAACTCATCAGTTTGACAAATACAATTCTTTACATAACCATCTCAATCATAACAAGTCGATGTTGAAATTAAAATCATTAATTTTTGGTAAATATATTTTTTTTTTTATTTAAGACACTTTTTTCCCTTAATTTTCATTGTAGGTATTTCAAACTAATTACAACATAAAAACAAAGTGTTTTAAAGATCAGAATTGAAATTGTGGAAATTTTCGCTTAGATTTTTACATTAAACTAAAATCATAATGGATAATTTAAACGGATCAGTTGAAAATATCACAATAAATAATGCAGATGATATTGACTTACCTGGTATACGTGTGCCTGATATGAAGCGTATTAAAAATGCACGTAAGGAACGTGCAAATCAACTTAAAGAATGGCTGATCTATGATAAAAAAATGCAGAAGGAATCAGAAAAATTACAAAAGAAAGGATTATCTCCACTGAATGGTAGAAGACATTATAACTCTAGTCGGGCTGTAAAATTTCCTCAAAGTCTAATATTTTTAGAAGCTGCTGCTCGAGGAGACCTAAATGAAGGTAGGTTTTAATTAAAGGGTATTTACGATTCAAAATTAATATAATATTCCATATAATAAATCTTTTTTTTTATGATTACCAATCTTGGAAATTTATGTAAACTAATCAATTTGTACAATATAACTTTAATTAGACATGGACTGAAATTCATGGATTGATAGCTAGCAATATCATAAAATTGACTGATATCAATGTTGTAACTTAACTGAATCGCAACTCATTGGTCTAAAAACTACATGCTTAGCATAAGTCCTAGTCCTGATCACCAGTGGATTTCATGAGTACTCAGTGCCAAAATGTTTCACACTAGGACGGAAAGACTGTTCAATCCCTCATAGTTTTCAGTGACCACTTCTCTGAAGTTAGCCAGCGGCGTAATACACAACATTGATTAATTAATATACATACTGATTTTAGCTTAACAGTCTTATGTAAATTTATCGATCCGCTCAATCCGATTGGTTATGTGCATTTGTCATACATTTACCACCATGCTCAAAAGCTCACAGATTTTAAAGACATCGAATGTTATAATTATGTTTTCTGACTTTTGAAAACGATTTACATGCCACAACTCAGTACCCATTGAGAATTTCGTTGGAAATTTCACTAATGACATGTTGTTAGTCAGCAGGAATTACCGAAATTTTCTTAATTGAAACTGACCAGCAGTAAGACCAATTTTTCAACTTGCAAGCAACATTGCCAAGACTAAAATGTTGAACGGTGCTTCCAAATTGTTCACTAATTATGTTAGTTTTGAATGTTGCACTAATCTATTCCGCTTGAAATATATATTAATTCAATAAGATTTTCTCATCAAACCCTATTAAATCATGTTTTATGAAAAAGTGATAAAGTATACTTTAGTCAAGTCAAGTCAAGTCAAGTCAGAAAAAAAAACACATAAATATCTGATAACCAAACTTTCGTAAATAATAATAATAAGCGTGTTTCACACCAATTAGCACAAATTTTTTTTGAAAACAATTTTTTTCTCTTTCAAACTTATGACTAATTTTTGTGTGTATTTGTTTGTTTTTTTTCGCTAACGTGTAGTATACAACCTAAGAGAAACAAGCGTTTATGAATTTTGTTAATAATATTTTACATGTTTCACGAATTTTTTTTCTCACTTTTTCGTCATGTTCAATGATTGATTCTATTTTTTTTTTTTCAATGTTCCAACGACATTGAAACTGATTAACAACGAAATTTTTGAATGTTATTATTATTACGATTATTATTATTATTATTATTATTATTATTATTATTATTTAATGATTGAATGAAAATATTTAGGTGTAGCTTAATTGAATGTGGATACCAGAGTTACATATTTAAAAAATTACTAAAAATATTTCAATTCAATTTGTTTACATGATGACTATGTTAGAAGCTGTTTTAACATTGTGAATTAATAAAAAGCATCATCTATTAGGTCTTTATCAAAGTTTTACACAAACAACCAGTTTTCTGCATGCAATATTACATTCTCTATAACTGATGGTTCAGTTAGGAAACAACATTCATTGATTGTTGAGATAACAATAAGCACAGTCAATAATACTAATACTAAAGACAATATCACAACTGAACCATCTGGCTTTAAAAAAAAAGCCTAAAACTGTGTGTTTTATTAAACCGATTCTCCTAGAATCAACGCCTTTGAAAAACAAAGTGTCCTTTAATTAATTGTTCGACAGCACATCTCTTGCTTGATATTGGGGTTCGGTGAACTCATTCCAAGTAATCAATAAACCATCGGATTCTATCTGATTGAGATTTGTGGACTGTATAACACAACACTTGGAAGGCTTACGCTTGACCTTTCCATTTAAAAACAATCACTTGTTAACGTTTGATGGGCTTGTCTAAGCAAACGAAGTACTCATTCTGACCTCTTCTTTTTTTTCTCCAACTACTTGTAATCTTAACCGAATGAATTGAACTTACACGTGCTTATTTTTTTTGTTCTTAAACGTCCCAAAAACACTATCGTACAATAATCCAGATTTATCACCCTAAACAACCTGTAAAAACATTTAATTATTTAACTTGTTTATTACATTCCAAACAACCTATTCGTTATTAGCATTTCACTTCCTGCAAATAAAACACTGTGCTAATATTTTAAAATAATAATTAAACTCTCATTAACTGTTAGATTAGTTGGAGAGAAAGTCACAAATCCAACGGATTGTGACAGCATTCGGTTAATATTATCATTTCTACTTTGTACAGATTTGTGAAGGAAACCAATTGCAAGAAACTATTAGAATTGTTCTTGTTGACTTAGGTAACAACTTTTCGAGTATACTTCAAAATTATATATACTGGTTGTCACTTTTCGTTTGACAATACAATAAATGCAATCTACTATTGCCTGTATGTTGAGATAAACATAGATTTATCGACATGTCATATCATTAGACTTTGGTTTCAATGGATAACTCATAGATCCTTCATAGGGAAAAAATAAACGCTATAAGGTGGTATCGTTTGAAATGGTACTTGTTAGATTATTCGTTACTATTCATTACTATAATCTCAATAACTGCTAAGAATAAGATGTCTAGCGACTCTACTGGATCAGACTAAAATCTAAACGTTTTTTGTTTTTACTTCCACAAGTATAAGTGTAACACGATAGTTTTAGAGAATTTATCACGTCCAATTAATCGATAATCCGTTTCAATCTCATACACGGCAATTAACGTTAAAAGTATGATCCATTCTATGGTTATGTAAATCTATACATTCATATTGTAATAAAAGTATTGGGAAATATAGTTTCGAACAATTTTAAAGCTTATCAATTACACTGAAGATTCTTTTGTGTCAATATTGACACAACCGTTTTGTCAGTTACCGTTCGGTTTACACTAGGATATTTAATTCCAAGCATAGCAATTTAGTTACCAAGCTAAACGTGTAACCGTACAGTAAGCAAGTTATTCATATCCTACGGATTACTATGAGAGTCTGAACTGTACTGAAAATTTCACCTTTGGATTTAGCTTCCATATATATGACATTAGCATATATATATATATATATATATATATATATATATATATATATATATATATCAATGACCTGTAGTTATTAATGCTCAAGACCGTGATATTATAATTGTATTTTATTTCTAACGTGAGTTTTAGTCTAAGCTAAAATGTCACATAGATGTCTTATCGTCAATGCTTACATTCTTTCTTTATTATTTCTTCACATTTTTCTTCAGTTATTTTTGTATGAAGTTCATGTTATCGATAACCATGTACCACGTCTAGGTTCTATCAACTCTCCTTTGATCTCTAAAAGAAACGATCCACAACAAAATGTCTTTATTTTTATAATAAAACCTAGGTACTTATGACCACCGCCTTAGATATTAATCCGATGACAACAACTGCTTATGAAGTGAATGAAACATATGATAATAATATTGTAATATAATAATCACTAACCAGGCATTATACGCGTTTCTTATTGTCAATTGTTAATAGGAAAACTCATTCTCAGCACGGGGGTTGTGAAGATTGTTGAATTTTATCGCGATCACCGATCGATTGAATCTAAACAGATATTGTATAACTGGAAGCACAGAGAAGCTGCTTCGTCTTAGAAGGGGGCTTCTCAACAGTATGCGCCCATGATTCCACCACTGGAAATCGAACCTCGGATCTTCAGTATTGCACTGAATACCTAACCTATGTACCAGTGGGCAGGCATCTAGAAGTGTAGCGTTCACTGCGAGACCGAGAGTCCTGTGTTCGAAAGCCTGTGGCGAGGTCATGGTTGCACACTTCTGACGAGCCCTACTGTAGGACAAAGCAGCCTCTCAGTGCTTCCAGTTATCCTATATTTCTTTAGCTTGAATTGGTTCGTGATTTTAATTAAATTAATGTAACTAACTCAAAACTCTAAAGAAGTGTAAGTTAATCGATTTCGTGTAATTTACATTTAGTAGAATACAATTTTTAGTGTGGAATAGGTTTACATGCATGACTGTAATAAATGATTGACACTCACGACAGATATAAATAAAATATGATCATTATGAACTGCTTACATATGAGTTTAAATCGCACTTTTAAGCTGTATTTTCATCTCTCATACCTACAGGAATCTAGAATAGTTTCTATCTCTCTGTCAACTAATCTCATCATAACATCCATACAGTAAAATGACAACATATTGTAATACAATCTTTGTTTTGAACCTGATACACTGTAGTTAAGTTACATTTTCTGCAGTGTGTGAAATATAGATTGTTTGTAGGTTGGTGTTCATGAAACAACCGTAGTGGAGATAAGTGAGTAGATGAGAGTGTTCTATACTTGTAGAATTAGCTTTCAATTGAAATAAGTTATGTTGAAGCAAATCGCTTCTCAATGATAAAAAAAGTTCATCAAGTTAAAAATTGAGACATTTTTGAATCATAAATCTAATTTGTTCAGTGCTGAATTCGTGTCAGTCTTCAGTTATACTAAGTAATCGATCGTGACTAAATTCACAAAACGGCTTAATTCATCACATGATACTCAACAGTCACAAGCCTTTTTTTCACATTATGTTTACATATTTGACTATAATCGACATGTACAAAAATGGTAGTTATTCCAGTCATAAGAGATTGCTATTAATATCGAATTTCACCCGACGAATTGTTACTTTATCTCATTGTTTACTTTTCAATGTTATGACATCAAGCCATAAAACAACGATTTAAAAATTTGTTTTCCAGCTATCGACCCGAAATTCTTGAAATATTTTTCACTGCTTATTTTACGCTTAAATCTCGCATTGAATGTTTTGACTAATATCAAGAAATACATTGATGTCAAATAATTTCTGTTTAGATAGCTTCCAATAAAATCTAATAGTGACTTCTAAACAATGCGTTTTATCAATGTCTGTGTTAGCACTATTACTTCAAGTTGAGTTCCGGCCCATAAGATTGTCAATCGTTAAGAATCAATCATTATAATTAATCT